TTCGACCTATCAAAAAATAATGCGTAATATCAGAGCAGACTTCGACGAAACGGTGGGGCAGTGAAATGCTGGAAAAATAGAAGAAATGCGCTGATTCCATTTCCACTGTGCTAGCGCTGATGGGCTCCATCAAGAGGAAAGTTCGAGATGTCGTTCAAACTGGAGAAATGTAACCATCTAATGCTGTAACTTTAAAGTTTTATTAAAAGTACTGTAAAGTAACCATTAATAGAGTTTTAAACTTATTGAATCACGAATTACAGGTCTTTTTGAACGTACCAATTTACTTTTAGTCAACCTTTGCAAAACACGAATGAACAAATCACTTAAGAAATTATATTCTATGTTTCTGTCTTTCTTTATTCTTTCGTTAATAAGTGCATAATATGTTTTGATTTAAATTGGACCGACAAAATAAAATTTAAGTGGAAGCATTAAGGCTTAATTCCTTATCCTTGTACGTTTGTATAAACGGCCAGTCATATTGAACTTTGTCTTACGTCTTGCCAATTTTCATATTCAATTCAAATGGAATACAAGTTACTAGATGACAGCTTAACGTTACAAAATAAGGAAGAATCATAATTATTAAAATGTAATTGCTAGTGTTCTGTTGTTCTACAAAATTAATATATTTTATAGTTGTTGTGTATCATCATTGAGAATTTAAAAATATAATTTATTTTACTTGGCACAAACTTAAAAATAACCCATGTTTTAAAGCTGTATCTAAATGAGCATGAAAAATGTTGTAAACGACTTTTATGAGCATTAATATAAAATATTGTAAAACATTTTTGTTACTTCATAAATTTTGCTATGTTGCTTACAAATAGATCATCATATTTACCGAAAAAAAACATCCAGCTAAGTAGACAAACAAAAACGTTATGACCTTAAGTGTGTGTCCGTTTTATAAAGTTTCTTGGTGGTGCACCACGGTTGCACTCTGCCTTAACAGGCATATTTTTTACACTGTAATTGATTAACCCTAATAAACATTTATCCTATCAATGGTCCGGCCTAAAAAATTTCACTAAGCATGATTTTTCCTTTCTTATCTTTCAGGTATGACCCATTTGTAATATCAAAACGCTCAGTAAGTACAGCTAGTCCCTCCCATATTACATCACACAGTAATATGCCTCTTGGTTCCAATAACCTTCCAAACCATAACACACTTGTCGCTCATTATAAACAAATTTGGTGCTAATAGCCAAACTGCCGCCACCGGCAAGACACTGTTCACTGTTCACTGTTCACTTTGTCACCAACGTATTTCAATTTCCCGGTTCGTTGACGTGCCGATCCTCCCGCATGAACGAACCAGTCACTCGCACTCGTTTAATAATTTAATCGAGGACCGCATGCCATACATCAGCCTTCAGTTTTAAAACGCTGTACTGGATCAGTTTTTTTGTTTTGTCCCTCGTGCTTCCAACCAAGGGAGGGTTTTGTGGTGTGGTTGGCCCTTTATTACAAATTCAGCCGGCTGTCAAAATCACATAAATCAAATTTAATATCTTAATATGTGTGTATGCTGCTTATGGTCTGTAACGTACGTTTAAAGGCAATGCCGGCAGTGTGGGATGATGATGATGGCGATGGCTGAAACAAGTTAGGGCGGAAAAAAAAACTCATAACAACCACTACGCTGATGGCTGCCTTGGGAATTCATCCCCACATTCTCCGGCCGATGGTGGTGGCACGAAACATATGCTTCTACGCCATCGAGCTAGTTTCCCAAACTGCTTGGGAAAATAGTCGACTGTAGAAGGCACAGCTCACAGGAAACGTGTAATAGAGGAGACCGCAAAATCCCCAAAAGAGGAGACCTTCTCACAAACACTCATCTGGATTTGATAATCTTCATTACGGGGGTGTTTGTGACAGAGCCGGGTCGGATAAAAAAAACTGGGTTTCATGGAATTTTACGGCTTGCATCAAGCGTACGGTTCAGAAATTTCATTTTTTTTAAACCATGCAATCATACCACTAATAGAAACTCATTTGTAACCCTAGATCCCACCCCGGCCGAAAACACCACCAAACGGAAGACCTCTTTAGAACGTACATATATCCCCATGAAAATTCACTCAAGTCAAACTTTTGCAGCACATTAAAGTTCTCGCACTTGGGTTACTGGAAACAGCCAACAAAACTGTATCAAAACTGATGTTACTGATTTTGATACCACGAGCTAGGTGGCGGCGCGGTGGCAGCTGGCTCGGTGGTGGAGGGGAAGACCCATCAAGACGATAAATTGCTTATTTATGCCGCCGGGAAAGCCATGACATGCATGAGATAAAAATGAAAAATTATTGTTTTTAATCTCACTCTCACTTGTTTTTGGCAGTTTTTTGTTATGGCGGTGGCGGCAGCTCGATGGGGGGAAGGGGAACTCGTCTCATGCGAGTTGTAAATGTATAGTAGATGTGTGGTCTGTTTTTTGTGCCCATGTACGGATCTAATTAAAATGATAACAAAGTCGTGTTGGGATTTGTGGAAAATTGAGACAAAAGTGTCAAATAAGGAATTGAGATGGCTATGGAGAAACTGACAGGAGGTGGAGGGTTTTTTTTTCTATCGTGGAAGAGAGGAAGTTTGAACAGGCTAATAATCGCATCCAATGATACGGGTTAGATTTAGAAAAAGGGAAAGTTTGACAAGCGTGGTGGGGGATCTAACATATTTGGGAAGTTTTCGGAATGAGTTGTTTGGAGGAAAATATAATCTCTGGCTAGAGATGAATCAAACATGGCTCTGAAATGACCCTCTCACATTGTTGTGTTTAAAAATGTACTGTTATGACAAGAGCTGTCAAGAACGTGGCATAAAATCATTATACTCCAAAGATTTCTATTGTGCAACAGCACGATCATGTAAAACAGATTCAATGACTTTCACTGCACACATTGTTCAACTCAGTGATGGCATAATCATTAGAAAATTGATATTTTTCCACTCTCATACGCTATCAATATGCTGATGGAGCAAAATATCATGCTTGATATTGATTTTACAAGCTCCTTTGATAATGCGAGACTATTCACAACGTGTAAAGTTGAAGCTGGGAGTTGAATCTACGCAAAAATCATTCCGTTGCACCTCGTTTTATTAGAAAGGGAAGGTATAATATTGCTATCTCTTTTTTCTCTTCACCGAGGGCAGAAACGAAGCGACTGCTACCAGCCGTTATGGAAGTTTCGGATGCGTTCGGGTGTAAAGCAAAAATCATGAAACTCAATCTCACCACAGTTGCAATATCAACAGCAGCTGTTTGCTAGTTGATTTATGTCTACGAAAATCAAGCGTGATCTTATTCTTTTGTGAGATTTGATTTTTTGATATTTTCTCAACACTGGTTCAACTAGATACTAAAAGTTGCTTCTAAGCAACATTTATTAGAGCATTTGACAGGCAGGTTAACAGCTTCACAACAATCAGTGCTTGCAGATATGTTTGTTATGCATTTATTCAATTATTGTAAAGCCGTTTTACAATGCCAAATAAATTTTGAGGAGGTTGTTGTTTAATGGCTTATAAAACTTTGTCTCAGCACTTGCGTGAATTGGGTTATAAATACCGCGATAAATACCAACCACAACTTTGTTGCTAAAAATAGCACATGCGATAGGTACGTTTGTATGACCACAGAGCAATGCGACTGCAAGAAAGTCACTCACGACGAGCTCAATATATTACTCTCATATGATCAAAATATGTAATCAAGAATAGAGCAGATAGAAACAGAAGCGGGCGGCAATACAGAATCATGAGTTTGGATCTTGCTTCGAGAAACACTCGGCGGAGTAGAGGTAAATTGTGTATAGGTGTTATTAATAAATGCAAACATTAAGTTAAAACATGTTTGATATAATCAACAATTTAATTCCTAGATAATTTTATCAATGCAGTCAATTAATCATTAGGGTGATTAACTGAAAGAATATCAACCATTCCGGCATCATCACAGAATGCGAATTGTGGCATAACTACATCTTTTTTCAATGTGCACAAATAAATGAGATTAATAAAAAAAAATTACAAGCCCTTATTTTGGCGCTCCACGACAATTGTTAAGCTAATTTTAATCTATGGATATTATGAGTGCTCACAGAACGCATAATAAACCGTGGTAAGTTTAAATGCGGGGTAAGTTGAAATGGAAGCTGTTACTATATGCGGAAACGAGTTATAAACTTAAACGCATCCTTTGACTGTCAAATCAGGTAGGAACAATCTAGAAGTAATAAATACACATAATTATCATTGGTACCGTAATAGATTTGAATTTGGTAAAATAAAATTGGCAAAGTTACAGCCTTAAACGTGAGTTTCCATTTTCCAAACTTCGTATAAACAGTTCATTTTTAAACACAACAATGCAGGAATGTTAAGAGTGTGTTTTGTTTAAAAAGTTTTTAGTACACACACTTGTATTTATAACACTATCTAAAGATTCAAACTTGGCACGAATTATATACCGCAGACATCGGTTGATGAAGACTTGCAGCTTTTGAGTGTTCTCCGCTGATACACACCACGTTTCGCTGGCGTATAACAACACAGATTTCACGTTTGAGTTGAAAATTCGGATTTTGGTGCGTTGACTTATCTGGTTGGATCTCCATACGTTTCGTAAACTCGCAAAGGCAGCCCTAGCTTTCTTGATTCGTGCACCTATGTCGCTCTTGGTCCCGCCGTCCGACGCTATTTGGCTGCCAAGATATTGGAAACTTTCGACCTTCTCCACTGCTTGCCCCGCTACCGTAAAGTTGGAAGGGTTGCCTGTGTTGATATCCAACGATTTGGTCTTGTTGACGTTGATGGTGAGACCCGCCGCAGGGGAGCGTTCGGCTATGTCATTGAGCTCGCTCTGCATATCAGAGCGCCGTTGTGCTAGTAGAGCAACATCATCAGCCAAATCGAAGTCGTTGAGATGCTCCATGGTTGTTGCCGGAATGAAACCCCTCGCACTAACTTTCGATAGCAGTATATTATATCAGCTTCAAAGCTGTAAATGCATCCTCCGCCGGGTGCATCTTGCCATCGACCAAGACTGCACGGATCTCTCCAACATCCAGCAAGGCAATCTTTGTTACCGGTCTCCACATAATACCTCCTTTGGTCCGCACGATAGCTTGACGTACTCTTCCATCAGTTCCTCGAATAGCTTGCTCCACTCGTCCCCTGGTCCACTCGCTTCGTCTTCCATCATCGGTGATGAGGACCAAATCACCAATCCTGATTTCCCTCGCTACTTCTTCGAACCACTTCGGCTGCCGACGAATGACTGGCAGATATTCTTTCAGCCATCGTTTCCAGAAGATATCCAGTTGCTGTTGGATATCCACCCACGTTTTCTGTAGATTCTGCTGCTGATAGCGAATGTTCCGGCTTGGTTCCGTGACTCCGCTTGAACTCCCGAGCAAGAAATGGTTCGGAGTCAGGGCTTCGGATTCATCCGAGTCTAACGGCAAGTACGTCAAAGGCCTAGAATTCACTACGCTCTCAGCCTCCACAACCAAAGTCCCAAGTCCTTCCTCGTCAAGTTTCCCATCCCCGTAAGCTTCACCCATCGCGGCCTTTACTGACTGTACCATCCTTTCCCAGGCGCCGCCCATGTGTGGGGCACCTGGCGGTATGAAGATCCATTCACACTTCGAGCTGGTGAATGTTGCGGATAGCCCCTGCTCGATTTGTTCCCGCAGAAGTCGTTCGGTGCCTTGAAAGTTGGTCCCATTATCGCTGTGTATCTCTACTGGTGCTCCTCGACGGCCGATGAACCTTCGTACGGCGGAAACGCATGACGAAGTAGTCAGGCTGTGCACGACTTCAAGATGGACTGCGCGCACGGTGAGACAAGTGAAAAGTGCGATCCACCTCTTCACGCTCGCTCTTCCTTGCTTCACCAACAACGGACCGAAATAGTCCAATCCGACGAAACTGAATGGACGGCTGCAGACTGCAAGACGAGCTGCTGGAAGTGGAGCCATCGGAGGAATGTACGGCCGAGGCTCTGCGAAGTTTACAGTACCAACACTCAAGGCTGCATTTTCACACTATGGTTCGCAGCCGAGGAATTTCAAAATGCTGACGGATCTCATTGACTACGGTTTCCGGGTTAGCATGCTTATACTTCCGGTGGTACATATCTACCACGAGTGTAGTCACTTCACTCCTTCTGGGAAGAATCACAGGATGCCGGAGATTGTACGACGCATGTTTGGCTGCTCCAATGCGCCCACTCTGTCGCATAACTCCGTATTCATCCAGCATAGGTACCAGTTGATACACCGAACTGCTTTTTGGAATCGGTTGCGCATCACCTTCCCCAGCAGACTTGTTCTTCGTGAGAATCGACATCTCGTCCGGAAACGTTTTCCACTGCACCTGCTTTATGATTACCACTTCCGCCGCCTGCAGCTCTTCCTGATGCAACTCGCCAGAAATGTTGCGTTGCTTTCTGTTGATGTTGTTAGTGAAACGCAGCAAATAAGCTACTGTGCGATGTAGCCTTTCCCATTTCGCGAACCTTTCGAATTGAATAACGGACTCATACGGAATGTGGAATAGAACAGAAGGTCGTATTTCCTCCGTCTCGACGGTAGATAACTCTGGGCACTGGTATCGGAGTGTGGTAGTTGAACGCCGGAAACGAGTGGCGAGGCAGCTGGTGCTGGATTTCCTCCCACCGCGCCTTCTTCCGTACCGTCACGGGACTCTTCTAACCATTGCCGCACCCGTCGATTATGTGCATGACGACTAACCTGACTTCGGTTCTCTTCAGCTGCTCTAGCCTTATCGAGCAGCTTTTGTTGCTGCTCCAAAAACTTTATCTGCTACTTCAAATTTGCCTGCTGCTGTTCAATGTCCTGCTGCCGTTTCAGTCGTTCAAGATCGCGAGCGACAGTCGATCCACTTTTACTCGATTTACTGCTTTTTGCCGATACACTGGGGGCGGCTTCGCACTTGGTACACATCCATGCTCGTTCACTAACCGATGAATCGACGCCGGCACACGCAAAGTGCCACCAGGAATCACAAGCGTCACATTGAACGAAGTTACCCGGCAAATCAGACTTGTTGCACGCCACACAACTAACCTCATTTTCTCTCGGCGTTGGCGGAGGGTCCGGGGGGTTTGGCATCGTTAAAGATAAATTCTTTGAAGAATTGTTGCCGGAATGAAACCCCTCGCACTAACTTTCGATAGCAGTATATTATATCAGCTTCAAAGCTGTAAATCATAGGATTAGTTTGAAATTATAGTCATACATTGCGGATAATTCAATCTTACAATTTAGTGCATTACTTCAATTTTAAGGTTAGTAACCTTCACAACATTAGCTTTGTCCACGAACAGTGTGTTTCAAATTCTAGAATAACAAATTATAGTTAGTTCACTACACTTTTATAGTTTAATACTAGGCAATCATATGCATTCTTACAATGTTCAGTACTCTTAGGTAGAAATCAATTAATTTAATAAATTTACAGTCACTCCACTATATATCAAGTCACGGTGGATGCTCATATAAGTTGTGGTGATGTGTCCGTTTGACAGATCGATCGTCCCTCAGCCTGGCTGATCATCGGTGACAGCGCATGACGTTTTTGTTGGACGCGTCGCCTCGAGCCATCGGGTTACCAGTATCACCATCCCTGTGGTAGATCGGTAGACTTGCGGCAACAATGGTGATAGGCTGCCAAAGCAGCCCACGGTTTGGTACACGGTCAATTGGACCTACCATGATCTCGTCGATTACGATGAGAAACAGTAGCGGTGATAGTATACAAGGCACAAGGCTCCGTTATGCAGAACTCTGCACGTGAAAGCCTCATACTGCGCTTCGATGAGGTTGACGATTTTATCCGGGACTCCCTTGCGTCTCAGGGCGCCCCACAGATTCTCGTGATTGAGACGGTCGAAAGCTTTTTCGTAGTCAATGAATACCAAATAAAGGGACTCTTGGAATTCATTGACCTGCTCCAGGATGATGCAGAGCGTGACAATATGGTCCACACAAGATCTTCTGGCACGGAATCCTGCCTGCTGCCGTCGGAGAGTCGCGTCGATCTTCTCCTGTATCCGATTCAGGATAACATTGCACAGAACTTTGAGAACAATACACAGTAACGTGATGCCTCGCCAATTGTCGCACACAGTCAGATCCCCCTTCTTTGGGACCTTCACTAAGATGCCCTGCATCCAGTCGGCCGGAAAAGTCGCGGTGTCCCAGATATTACAGAATAGTTGATGCAACATTTGAGCGGATAGCATGGGGTCAGCTTTGAGCATCTCTGCTGATATGCGATCGACCTCTGGAGCCTTGTTGGATTTCATGCTTCGGATAGCTGCTTCAATCTCCTGCAGTGATAGGGCCTCGGAATTGACGCGAGTGATGCACCGCACCCTAGGCGGATCATGCCGAGATGTTGATGGCTGAATGGCCGTCGAAACTTGAAGAAGTTGTTCGAAGTGCTCAAACCAGCGTTTCAGCTGGTCAGTGGGGTCGGTAAGCAATTGTCCATTCGTGTCCTTCACTGGCATCCTCGGGTTCATCCTTGCTCCACTCAGGCGTCGTGAGATATCGTAGAGGAGGCGTATATCGCCAGTGTTTGCGGCTTTCTCCCCTTCGTCGGCCAGGGAGTTCACCCACGCTCGCTTGTCCCGTCTGCAAGAGCGCTTGACTTCTTTCTCTAGAACCGAGTACCGTTGACGGGCTTCGTTCTTGGCTCCTCTGGTTCTCGCCCGCTCTATCGCGGCTTTTGCTTCTCTACGCTCCTCAATCTTCCGCTAGGTTTCATCTGTGATCCACTCTTTCCTCTGGGCGCGCAGCTCACCCAAGTTGTTCTCGCTTGTTTCTATAAAGGCATTCTTGATGGCCGTCCATTGTTTTTCTACGCTGCCACCTTCTGGAACGTCCACAGCTCGAGACTCAAGTTCAAAAGACCTTTTTACCGCTGGATTTTCAAGTCGGCGTGTGTTGAACCACCGCCCGAGTCTCTCCTCCCGTCGCTGGATCCGCGCCAAGATTCGAATTTGGTAAAACAAAAATGTCAAATTTATGAAAGGTTAAACATTTTTTCTTTAAATTTAGAATTCCACGTAAAACTCATACTTGGTGCAGAATTAGACAGATATTGAATTATGTTAATGATTCAGGAATTCAGTAATGAAGAGAATAGTGTAAAGGGATCCAAAATTGGTTAAGTAAAAATCCAACTTCAAGACGTTTGCGCCACGACGAGATGAACTAGCCAACGAGTTAAAAATCTCGCTAATAATGCTTTAAAAAAACGTTAGTGCCACATCAAAATTTAAATATTTTTGCGTCACTTTCGATGAAATTTCTTTCGAAGCCATTTTGAATCAGAAAAACGAACGAATTTCAGGTTTCATGAACATTTGAATAATAATCCGCACCCTAATGTACAGTGGTTCGCGGAATGAAAAATTTCTCGGCTTCCCTAGATATAGAGTATGAATGTACTTGCCACAAAATTATACTAATGCAAAAATGGTATAGGCATCGAATGCTCTCAATTAATAACTGTGGAAGAGCATCTAGCCCACTAAGTTGAGAGCACTCGATAAGCTAATATGCGATTAGCAAAAAGCTTGAAACGTGAAGAAGAAGAAGATGGAGAAAAAGAAAAAGAAGACGACGAAGAAGAAGAATACGAAGAAGAAGAAGAATGCGAAGAAGAAGTAGAAGAAAAAATGCACAGTGGTGCAGGATTTGAAATTAGGAGGAAATAAATCATTTAACCCATACATTAATACACTACCAGCACAATATCTTCTAACGGGTGTTAACGCCAAACGCCTCTTATAGGACATTTTCATATTTTCGTAAATCAGCTTCAGTTTTTGCCGTGCATTAGTCTGGTAGGAAAGACTTTGGAATAATCTTTCCATGTCCGCAAGGTATTGATTAAACCATTCATTACCTTTTTGTTTGCGTTCCCTGATTGCATCCTCAATTGTATTATCCTTATTTGAATTTTCAAAATAATGTTGAGGTAATGTACCAAGTGATCCCAGTTTGAAATTTTTCATAATATGTAAAATACCATTTTCATGCCTATCCCGCAAAAAGCAAGTACGACTGCTGCAACAACTGTTCCTTCGTAACGCGATTAGCATTGGCCAAAATTGTTATTTGTCTGACGAAATCTGAGACAGTTAAAGGTCTAGAATCGTCACTAAGTTGAACTTGCCATTTTTCAATCTTTGTTCTCAAACCCACATTCATATATTGCTGATGAATTTGGTTGTTTGGTGGAAATTGAGGATTTTGGTTATTTGGTGGAAATTGATGAATGTTCGAATTGCTTGAACCACTATTATTTCCAACAGGAAATTGTCTGTTTGATGACTCATTCGCTAGAGGTATGTTATTTACTGGTTGAGAAGTTATGGGGTCCTCCGGACGTGGTACATTGTTAGTAGCAGATCGCCGCGACGGAAGCGTTGGAGTCGGCATTTGATCCATTTCGTTGAAATAGTCTACGACGGATTCTTTAATAAGCACCCTAACTAGAGATCTTATTTCATCTGTAAAATTATCTTGACCTTAGGGAGATTGACCGTTTCGTTGCTGATTTGCTTCCGTTACGTTTCGCATCGAATCTCGGAATCGTATTTCATCTAATGTTCGCGTAAATGAATCCATGTTCAACGGAATACTATTCGGATCTTGGTGTGAACTGTATCTGAAAATATTTTACATCGGTGCTCTACTATCACTATTACTAACCGGTACCGTATTTCCAACTGGCGTGTTTGAAACATTTGTGTTTTTGCTTGTATTAGAAACCGGAAATTCAAATCGGGAGGTTCGCGGAATATGTACGGATGCTTGTCTTCTGTTCGGTGAATCAGCCCATCGCGGTATTCTTGTGGATTGATTCTCCGTAGCTGAGCCCCTAGGCGGCCAAGTTGTGGAACTAGATAACGGGGCGTTTACAGAATGTTACTCGCGTGGTACCCGAGGGCGTGCACCGTATTGAAATTGCTGTTGAGAAGTTGGTTCAACTATCGCGTTTGGTTCCCGACGGTTGTTTGGTTCAATAATCGTCTCTAGGTTTACAGATAATTGAATTGAGTCGGTGGATTCATTTCCCTGATTCTCGAAGTTTTTCTCGCGGCGGCCACATTATCCAATTCAAGGAGATTTGCAGACAAACGGTATGGAGCACATGCTGTATTAAATAAATTTTTTTGTATTGGGAACCCTACTGGGGGGAAATTTGCGAAACTACTCGTATTAAAATTGACTCTCGACGGATCAGTGATAAAAAAGTTTCCATCACGTATTACGATGTTCGATGGCAATTGATTTTATGGTTGTAAGATCTTGATTTTCTGAATAGTTGGCACAAGGGTTAGGTGGTGATCTAAACGCGAAATACTGACTTAGTATCATTTCAACGTCAGTTCGCATTTTCAATTTAATTTGCAAAGATCCTTCAACCGGCGAATTGGCCCGAAAAATGCGATTTCTCAAATGGATCAATCTTGATCGCGCTTTACTTGTAACACGAATTGAAACTGAATTCGTGAGCTCTGCAATCTTAGGCGAAATTAATGGAATTTCCTCCTCAATCTTCAGGTGTGTTTTATACGTTGGATTATTTACTCTATCGTGTTTTAACCAATGGCGCAAATCCCTTCGAAGTTGACCAAACGGAGTATTTTCCGTTATTACTTGTCCTCTTAGTTCCAACTCGTAAACGGGTTCATCATCTTCTAAATCATCTGCTTTATAGTCATACATTGTGTATTCTTGTTAAATACTATTATTCTTATTATTTAATTATAACGATACTTTTTCGAAATACTAAGAGAAATAGGACAGAAATAATAAAAAGGGGAGTATATATAGTGTTAAATGTAACCAAAATTTAATAAGTAACTTTATCAAAAAAAAAAAATAAAAAATAACCCAAAAAACTCCTCTATTTACAAAGGAAAGAAATAAGATTTTCAATTTTCTAAAAAAAAAAATATTTTTAACCCTCCAATTAGGAGGCTCAAAAGAAGATTATAACAACTAAGTTAAAATTGAAGTTTACAATCCGGTAGTTGGGCGCCAAATGTAACAGTAGGGTAGATGGCAAGGCGGAAGTAGCAGAAAACAGC